GGGATCGAGCCCACAACCCAGGCATGTACCCTAACCGGGAATTGAACCATGACCTTCTGGTTCATAGGTCAACACTCAACCACTGAGCCACGCCTGTTGGGCTATGGTATCTTTATTTTATCCTCATTCTCAAAAATATTTTGAGTCCACAATGGATATTTTCTCTAAGTACATTGAAAATACTATGCCTTCCAGTATTATAATGTTTTCTTTTTTTTATTATAGTTGACATACAATATTAGTTTCAAGTGTACGGCATAATGATTCAACCTTTATATTCCTTATAATGTGATCACAGTAAGTCTAGTAACATCTGTCACCAAGCAAAGTTGTTACCGTAATATTGACTCTTTCCTCTATGCTGTACACTACATCCCTGAGACTTACTTTATAACTGGAGGTTTGTACCTCTTATTCCCCTTTACATTTATCCCTTGTCCCCCGCCCCCCTTCACCTCCCCTCTGGCAGCCTGTTAGGACTTCACAGAGAAGGCATCCGTGACTGAGAGAGGTGAAGTGACTGGCCCAGGGTCACAGGGCAGGGAGTTGGCAGAGGCAGGACCGGAAACCAGGCCTTTCTGACCCCAGACTCAAGCAGCAGTAACCAGGAATTCTCCCGTGGCTGCTAGGGCCCTGCATGACCCGGCGGGGACGGCGCCTCACATCCAACTGGGGGGCCCACGGGAACATGAAGGATTGTTTTTTAAAAAATTATGCTGGGGTCCTCCCCTCAGACCCTTGAAGTCAGAATCTCTAGATCAATGGTTTTCAACCAGGGACATCCAACCCTGCTCAGAGGCAGGTGTCCACAGGAAGGGGTGCTACTGGCACCTAGTGGGTGGAGGCCAGGGATGCTGCTCCACATCCTACGATGCACAGGTGGGCCCCCACCCACAGCATGACCCAGCCAGTGTCGGTGCCCAGGCTGAGGACCGGCTCTGGAACCAGGCCCGGGGGGGTCAGCCTTGTTGAAGCTCCCCAGCTGACCCTAATGTGCAGCAGAGCCGAGCGGTGCTTCTCGAACTCGATGGGACCCGAGCACCACCTGGGTGCCTTGTTAAGCTGCAGATTTGGGCTTAATAGGCCTGGGGTGGGGCCCGAGGTTCAGCCTTTCTAACAGGCACCCCGCGGTGCTGGTGCTCCCGGCCGCGCGCTTGGCGTTGCCAGCCTGCAGTACCGGTAAAGGCTACATTTTCCTGAAAAAAGATAGCTTTCCTTCGGGTAAGGAGAAGGGATGGGAAGGGCAAATCTGGCAAAGAGAGAATCAGTTGGTTGCTTGAAACTGTGAGGCTTTGAGGGGAGCAGCAGCGAGGTTGCTTTAGGAAACAGACTCGTCGTGTTCACAGCGATGCACTGTGGTTCACAGAGCAGCTGGCTGGCCAGCCTCCCGCCCCGCTCAGACCTCCTGGTCATGGCCAGGCCCCGGCCTGGCTGGCTGAGAGCCCCTGGCCAGCTTGGCCAGTAGCAATGACTCAGGCTTTCCACCTGCAAAACGGGGCAGATGGCTCTTACCACCTCCCCACCCATCCCTGGGGCCACAGCTCCCAGCGGCGGCCCCCACCCCAGACTCATCAAAGGCAGAACTTAAAAGCTGGGCCCATTTTTCCGGGCGGTGTGGCTGCTGGTGTTTTCACTGCTAATACGAGTAAACCTCCATTTGTAGCCGCTCAATTAGGAAGTCATACAAAACGCGTATATTGAAAGAAGGGATTAATAACCCAGCCCATGTGGGAGACATTAGCTTCTGTGGACAGGCCTTTTGAATATATACTCCGAGCTGGCAGCCCCTGGAGCAGCACTTGGCCGGCCGGTCCCTGGGAGCAGAGAGCCTGGGCGGAGCGGGATGGGGAGACCGTCAGGGGATCACTGTGAGCCGTCGGGTTGCACTTTGAAAGGGAAGTGTCTGGGAGCGTCTGTCTGGTCCACGACAGATTCCTTAGATGTTGCCAAGTGCATGGTGGCTCCTGAAGGAGCCGGTTCCAGTGTAGCTCTGGGCAGAGGGAGGGGGTGCTCACCACCTGGAGGCTCAGGCCGGCCAGGAGGGGAGGGTTCGGTTTGGGCCTTGGCCTCACACGGCTGCTGCCCCGGCTCCCGGATGGGGAGGTCCACGGGCCCCTGGCACGGAAAGGACTGGCCCTCCGCCCAGTTCTCGGGCTCTGGGAGGAAGGCCAGGAGCTCAGGGTGACTCACCGAGGGGAGGACCGGCCTCTTCGACCTACGCTGCCAAGGCGAGGCCTGAGCAGACGGGCTGCTGGTGCTGCTGGGACCCGGTTCTCACCCGCCCTGGGAAGGGGGCTGGGAGGGTCGTCATCCTCCCTGCAGCAGACAGTCAGAGCCTGGCTGGCGTGGCCAAGGGAGGGGCCGGTGCTGGGCACGGCAGCTCTGGGGGTTCCCACTGAGCTTTGCCACAGAGCCTTAGCCACGTGGTGACCTGACTTCTCTTAGCTTTAATTTTCTCCCCAGTCAAGTGTGCATGATTTTAATACTTCCTTCCTCAGAAGGTTGCTGTGAGCATTCAAGTATATCATTGCAGTAAAGCGCTCAGCACACGGCTGCCCATTCTTCCTTCTTTCGTTATTGCAGGCACACATGAAAACTTAGATATGGAGAGAGACAGAGGTATGTGTGCCACGATGTATTGAGATATATTCATATTTATTCCTATCCATCTGTCCGCCTGTCCATCTGTCCTTCCAGCCAGCCAGCTATCCGCCCGTCTATCCGTTCCTCCCTCTCTCCTTCCCTCCCTCCCAAGCACCTCCTCCTAAATCCCAGCTCTGTCCCCAGCCGTGGGCTTACATCATACACAAAGGCTTACAGTCTAGAGGGGGCAGAAGAAGACCTGAACTAATAAAGCCACATGTAGTGTGTCTGTAAGTGGAAAGTTCTTTGGAGAAAAACAAAGCAGGGTAAAAGCAGGATAAAGGCAAGAGAGGGAAAGACAGACAGACCGAGATGGACAGGGTACCCGCTATAGCTGCGAGAGAGGAGGAAGCCTCGCTGAGGTGGTGACATCGGAGTGGAAGCCTGCAGGAAGTGAGGAGGGAACCCTGCAGGTCATGGGGCAGAACCTGCCAGAGAGAGAGGCACTGGAAAGTGCAAACGCTCTAAGACAGGAGTGTGTCTGAGACACAGAACATTCCAGAAGTGAGGCTGGGGTGGCACAAGCAAGGGGGAGTCTGTTGTAGGGAGTGAGGTCAGGGAGATGGTGGGCAGATCAGGGAAGCCTTTCAGACAATGTCTGGAATTGCTAATGAATTTCAAAGCAAATATCAGGAACCGGGTCCTAACGTGTCGCATGTGTGTGCTGAAGGTGTGGGCTGACCTCAAGTGCAAAAGGAGAAAGTGCATTCTAGCGAAATGAGTCTCATGGAATAGTTGGTTTACCCATCCTACATAATAAAGAGCTAATATGCTAATTAGACTGAACAGCAGAAGGACTGTCTGGACGACCTTCTGGATGATGCTGGGGCTGCGAGGGCCGGCCAGGGCTGCGAGGGCCGGCCAGGGCTGCGAGGGCCGAGCCCAGACGACCTTCCGGACGATGCTGGGGCTGCGAGGGCCGAGCCCCTTGCATAAATTTTGTGCACCAGGTCACTAGTCCTTTCATAAAAATACAGTAATCAAATTCTCACTTCCTTTCCCGTCCCTTGAATCAGGAAAACAAAACCTGTTGTTAGGAGAAAATGCATCCAAATGACTTGGACACTTTTACGAGAACATGACATTTGCAGTTAGGTTTACAGGGGTGATGACGGCTCCACATTTAGACGTGACAACAGGTGAAAAGGTGGGCAGAGCATGTCCCAGCTCATCACCGTGAAATCAGAAAGCCTTGCTGGAGTGTCCTCACAGTGACTTCTTGTCTTCTGTCCGCAGCCCAGCGATCTGCCCATGAGCTGCCCATGGTGGAAAGACAAGACATCGACAGCTGCCTGGTGTACGGGGGCCAGCAGATGATTCTCACGGGCCAGAACTTCACGGCCGAGTCCAAGGTCGTGTTCACGGAGAAGACCACAGGTAGGGCCCTTTCAGCTCCTGCGTGTCCCCTGGCCGAAAGCCACCACCTGCTGGTTCTAAGCAGCATTGATTTTGGGTGGATATCATCATGTAGACTTGCACATTCTGCCCTTTTTTCCTCACCGGGATCAGTCCCCCATGTCTCTAGTGATTTTGATGTTGACACAGTTCACCATTGTGTGAATGTGCCGTAATGTGTTTTAGCTGATCCTGGGTTGTTTCATTAAACGAGAAGGTTGTCCCCTGCCAACCCCAACTCTTTAAAAAATTTTTTTTTATTTCCACATAGAAAGGTATACTTTTTCAACTTCTTACTATTATCAAGAAGGGAGGCCAGACAGCATGGTGATTAATGTGCCTATTCTGGGCCTGGGTATCCTCAGTTCACATCTGGCTCTGCTACTTGCTTGCTGTGTGATCTTAGGCAAATTACCTAACCTCTCTGTGCCTCCATTTTCTTATGTATGAAATGATAATAACAGAGGGTTGTCACAGGGTTAAATGAGTTGGTACATGTTGAGTAATTATAACAGCACCAGGTATATCGTAAGCCAATAAACATTGGCTACTTATGTTTAATTATAAATCGTGTTTTGATTAATCTTCTTATACTTTGAAGATTAATTAATCTTTTTGACACAAATCTCCATGTGCATCTTGTTTATTTATGGTTTATTCCCAGCAGTGGAATGCTGGAGAGTCATTTTGAGGATTTTAAATGCAGATTGCTAAGCTACCTTCCAGAAATGTACAAATTGAAACTTCCACCAATACCACATCAGAACTGGTTTCCCCCCTTCCCAGAAGTGCCATTTAAAAAAATTAAAACAATTCACTGAATTGGTACTTCTTTTTGTTTTGCGTCCTTTGCTCTGAGAGGTTTAATGTTTCTGTTTATTGGCCGTGTTGTAGTCTTTCTTGTGTACATGGTCTGGTAATGTGTTTTGCCCATGAGGGTGAGGCAAAGAGAAAATGATGGGAAGCAGGAAAAGTATCAGGTTATGCAATTATTGGGTAGTTGTGGATGATAGACCTAGTTCTTTTCTTCTAGTGGACATGATTTCTGTAGGTTAATTCAAAGGGGTGTTGATGTTTGTTTCTTGGTTTATTGCCTTTAGGATGTTGCAGAGAATGTAGCAGGCAGGTAGTTCAGTTGTGGGCTTGTGCACTGCCCAGGGACCCTCCTCAGGGGGCTGCCTTTCAGCCTGGATGCATCATGGATCTGTGTATCATGAAGACACCTGCTGACAGAGAAAGCAGAGTGTCTGGGGGAGGTGAGCTTCTTCCCTCTTCCCACAAAGCTTCCTGTTGGGGCCCTGAGGATGGGTGGGTTTGGGAGTGGATTAGAAGGCTCATGGTCGGTCAGTGGTGGTGTAGTGAGAGGTTAGGAACACGGACATTGAAATGGATGCATTGCTTTCTAGTATGTGTTTGTTCAACACCATCTTTATTCCCCTTTTATTGGGCATTAGGCTGCTTCCAACTCTGAGCTGTTATAGGTAGCTCAGTGATGAACATCTTCTGCATTCGTTTTGTCAGTTAGATAGGAACTCGCTCGTTAGCCAGTCTGCTTGTGTTCAAAACCCAGCCCCACTACTTTCTAGCTGTGTGACCTTGGGCAAGTTACTTATCCTCTCTGGGAAACAATGTCCTCATCTGTACAATGAGGATGATGACAGTCCTACTTCATTGGGTGGTCAAGAGATTAGGAGTTCATCATGTTTGTGCTTATAAAATGCTTGGGATATAGAAAGTGCATGGTATGTTAGCTAATGCTCTTTCCTAGATGTGGGATAGTGGATTCAAGAGGGCATGCATGTTTTTAAGTGTCCTGGGGGACGCTTGTTTTCCAGGTGGTGGGAAAATGTAAAATGTTTTCTATAGCAACAATTTGTAAGGCTCTGCTGAGTCAGAAGGCAAGCCAATTTGCTGAAGTAGAGGCCGTTTAACATGGGGAACTGCTTTGATCAGTGGGCAGAGGCCAGAACACAGAGGTCTTCCAACGCCAGGTACAGACATAAGCTTGCTTTGGTCTGCACCTGGGTAAAGTAATTGGGAGCCATGCTGGGTTCCTGAGCAGGAGAATGCTATGAGGTTAGCCTCTTCGGTTCTGATGCATCTCCTGTAGCAGGCGCCATCCTGTTGGCCTTCTGCTGACTCTCACAAGAAGTGTATGGCTTCAAAATGCCTTATCGGTGGAGGGAAAATGCTAATAACATACAGATGTCTTGTTATCGGTGTCCAGGTTGGTAGTTCCTGGGGGGCGGTGGGGGGAGGGGCAGTGGAACCGAGTAGGGATGACTGGATGCCAGGTCCTGCAAGTTCCCCGCAGAGTTAGGGGCCAGCCAGCTTTCAGTTGTCCGGGAGCTCATGAGTGAGTGAGTGAATGAATGAATGGCATTTACTCTCAGGCTTTTCTTCTCTTGGCCTGGAGGAAATTTCACAGTTTACCTCTTAAAGGGAGGAAAACTCAGAGCCCGCTGCATGTTATAAGAGTCATAGTAACAGCTCCCTGTGATTGAGTCCATCTGTGGGCGGGCCCTTCGCCTGCTACTCTCCCCAGGTTGTCCTCTCTAACCCAGCACCTGTGGGAGGCAGATGGCAGAGAAGTCAGGGCATTCACCTGAGATCATACCCAACATTGTCCAGTTTTTCTACCTTCCTGGGCCTCAATTTCTGTCTCTGTAAAATGAGGTAGTAACAGTCCCTTCCTCCTGGAGTTAATTGCAGAAATGAACAACGTGAGCTCAGTGCATAGGGAGTGCTCATTGAATGTCTGCAGTTATATCATGGTCTGTCCGGTGTTATCAGAGCTCAGGCCATACACAGGGTTTATTCGACACACACTGCCCTCGGCGTTGGCCTTGGCTGGGCAGCTGTGGGGGGCTGCAGGCTGTGGTGGTTACAGGCACAGACTCTGAGGTCAGACGGCCTAGTTCAAATCCATGATCTGAGTTTAGCAGCTTTGGCATTCCGGGTAAGTCGCTTCGCCTCTCTGAGCCAGTATTTCCTCTTTTGTAAAATACAGATGATTTACTTCTCTTGAGAGATGAGGGGATTAAATGAGATCATAGAGCTTGGCACATTGTAGATGCTCATTAAATGTTAGCTTCTATTATTATCATTATATTTAGTTGATGGGAGGGCAAAAGGTAAGATTTTAGCTCATGGAACTGAGAGACATTGAAAAACCATCATAAGTAATAATAAACTATGTGCCAGGCCTTGTCCTAAGCATTTTCTATATATTAACGGATCTGATTCCTCACGACAGTCCTACAGGGTAACCACTGCTCTCCCAATTTTACTAATGAGAAGCTGAGCACAGAGAGGCTAAGTAACGTAGTGAAGATCACACAGCTGGTTAATGGCAGTGTTGGGTTTGGCCCTAGCCAGCCTGGCTCCAGAGTCTGTACCTTAACTGTTAGCTGTTCTGCTCTGAAAAAGCTTAGAACCAGGTTAATTTGGCTGAAGACCTTCTTCTAGCTGCTCTGAGCCGCTGACTCGGGCCATTTGGTGGTGAAATCAAGCACCGACTTCTGCAGTGGGTCTCTGGGGTCGAGAGGATGCAGTTCGTGAAAGTCTAACTAAAGAATCCTGGATGCATGTGGTTCCTGGACTGGTGCCAGCAGACCCCGGAGTGTCTGAGACACTCCCTCCGCTCCTCCCCCCAGGAGTGGTGGGCTTCCCTGGTGGGATGTCTGGCTCCTGGTGGCTGTGACAGACAGGGGGCTCGCCTTGCGTCTGCAGGGACCTGATTCTGCTCTTTTGACCCCAAGAACTCGCCTCCCAGCCCAGGGCTGCCTTCTGCAGGGGGAATCCCTGTTGCTCAACTTCTTTTTTCCAAAACGCATCCCTGTTCCCATCTCCATGGACAGCTTGGCCGGGGAAGGCGCTGCGGGGCGGGGTGGAGTGGAACAGCCGAACTTTTCCAAGGAAGGGGAACCCCAGCTGGTTCTCACATTAAGGAAAGGTGACAGCCTCCTGGGCTAATCTTAGCCCCCACGTTGGGTCATCGGCACCACCGGCTCCAGCGTTCTTTTTATAGCCGTGGCTGAAATGGAGTTGGTGGTTTCCACTCCAGCACGATGACAAATTGGAGAACGGTGGAAAGACAGGAGAGGGGCAGCATGGGGTTCCTTAAGTTGGAAGAGCTCGGTGTTTTGGAAAAAGGCCTCTTATTTATAGCAGCACGATTAGTATTATGATTGATATTTTATTACTAATTTTAATTATTTTCAGGGCTTCTCAGGGCCTGGCCCTCACCCATCACCTCCGATTTCAGCTTTTTCGTCCTCCTCCTTGCTTACTTGGCTGCCGCGGCGCTGGCCTCACAGCCCAAGCTCGTTTCTGCCTCAGAACCTTTGCTTTCGCTCGCTCTTCTTAGAATGTCCTGCCATCATTTCTTTATGAAGCTCGCCCTCCTCTTCCTTCAAGGCTCCGCCCCTCCTTGCCCATCTGCTCTGAAGCTGGTCACCCTCCCCTCGCACCTGTCAGCTCCTGTCCCATTGTCCTCTCTGTTCTCTCGGTGGCACTTAGCACTACTGAAACAACCTTGTCTATTCGTTCACTCATTTGTTATCTGGTCTCCCTCGCTAGACTCTTAGTTCCTTGAGGGCAGGGACTTGGTGTTTGCTACTGTGTCTGCAGCATCTAGAATAATCCCTGGCACACAGTAGGTGCTCACACATATTGCTGAGTGAATGTGTCACTTCTTTTCACTCTCACACCAGCCCTGAGAGGTGGGTGGCATTATCCCCATTTTACAGATGAGGTAACTGAGGCTCGTAGAGGTCAGGTCACGGGGCCCCAGCTCAGCTCACAGCTGGAGACAGAGCTGGAATCCCAAGCCACATTTATCACCAACCCCCTGAGCAATCTCTCTAATCATATCCCAGAGGATGAGAGAAACCAGACAGAACCACCAGGGTATTTCCCATTTACCATTCTCACCGCTGGCTGAAAAGCCTTTCTATATTCTCTGAAACTTAAAAAACGTG